CTCAATGGTGTCGTTAACTCCACCGTTCGTGCAGAAACGCAAGGCGTTGACCTAGCCGTTGGCCCACATCCCACGATTGGCCATTGTACGGGAAGACTTGAGGAAGTGACTATAATAAGAGAAAAGTTGAAGCTGAAGGGATAGAGGAAACAAGCAGTAGGCAGGGGAAGAAGAGTATTTATGCTCGCCGGACAGCGTTTGCTATATAGCACCGTTGCCTAACTCTCTCTCACCTTCACTATTTGCCTTTACCTTAACCGTACGAGACGCCAAACATGTGATAGCAAACGGACGGAGAGAAAGGAAAAGAAGACTAAGGAATACGCACGTGATATTGGACGAGGTGAAGGAGGGGAGTATTGTAAAGGGCTACGCCAGAGAGGCATGACCTACAGGTCACATGGCAGTGAATCACATGACTTTAGTCACGTGACTAAATGACGTGGTTAGTTACGTACGAACAAGCTTAAGTAAGGAGGAAGACTAAAGGTCTGAGCGTTCGTACGAGTAACAACTATAAAAGGAGGGCCCTCTAGATAGTTCTTTTCTGTATCTTTCTTCTTCTGTACAATAGGTGAATGCATACTCGTTAGTTAGGCCTCTCTCGCCCATAACAGTACTCTTAACGTATATAAAACTTAGTACGCTACTATATCTAGTATATTAATAAGAAGCGCTTTCTTTTAGCCTTTTAAAACGCGTTTTTTAACGTGTTTACGTCTAATAACTATAAGAAGGCCTTTAAGGTAGTAGAGCTAGTCTCTATTAACGCGTAAAGAGTTATTAATTACTTTAATATACGCTTTTATACTCTACTATGAGAAGCTTAGCTGGAAATACCTTAGATATTAAGAACACTAAGTAATTTATATAAATTTAGGTTATAATCAAACCTTATAAGAGAGTCTTTTATATAATTACTAACTACTATATAAGAAGGCTGTTTAAAGACTATTAAAGGGGCTAAAGAGATACTACTTAAGAATGTGCTTATAAAGGCCCGCGTAAGAGAGCTTAAAGAGCAATGAGTAGTAGTAACAAAGCGCCAAGGGCGCAAAAGAAAGCGAATTTAGACAGGTGGGACACTAGACTTTAGTGCAGGGGCATCGCAGGTAGCTAAAAGTAGTTCTGCTAGTCGTACGACATCAAAGAAGGCACGTGGTGAGAGTAGTCAAGAAAGGGCCCTACTAGGTTAATAGCACTATAGAACTTATAGGAGGATAGGCTATAACTCTTGTATGTGCTAGAAAGATATAGAAGAAGATTCTTTTTTAGATATAAGTAAGTTGTATAAAGCATCTATAGCTAGTGTAGAGTAATCTAAGTTTTTATATATAAAGTTCGTGTAATGGGCGGGCCCAACGGGCCGAGCGTACGACTACTTACGCCATCCATAGCCAAAAAGGCAGTAACAAGACTTCAAGCTTCTTGAAGTCTAGGTAGTCGTATAGATATACTCGATCACACACACACTTTAGGCGTAGCCTCTTACAATACCTCCTCTCTTAAAACGTACGAGTATATCTACTACTTGCCCCCATAGGGATCACGCGACCCTTGTCACGTGACCATCACGCGACCCTTGTCACGTGATCACGTGGCCCTTGCCAC